AAGTATTTTCCTTTATTTACTTTTAAGTCTTTGGAATTCTGTGTGTTTATACCTATTTAATTCACTAAATATCCATTGGAAATACTTGCTGTTTAGATTCTATAAAATTTTTAGCTACAAATGTAGATTTACATTCTGAAATTGTTCTAAACCTATTTAAAATTTTCTCATTGACTCAACTGTCAGGTTTGGAATTAAACTTAAAATTAAATAAAATTTAAAATAGAGTCCCACATTTCAAATACTCAGTACTGGTGGTTACCTTATTGGACAGTGCACAGCACTGAAGGGCTTTATGAGAAGAAACATTTTTTTTAAGGCAGTGGACCCATATATTTATTAGCATCCCTTACAGACTGTAGTGGTTAGAATTTTATTTCTTATAATAACCAAAAAATGTTGAGGCGTTGCCATTTCTTCACAATGCAGGGAACATGTTTCACCTCCTGCCGAGTGTGGTTCTCTCTCCCTTTCCTGATGTCCACGTCCGTCTGGTAGTCGCAGTGTGTGGGAGTTGTACGAGTAGAAAGGGTTACCTGAGCATTTAAATTCTTACGAGTTTCTACATTTTTTAATAAAGAAGTATTTTTGCTGCCTAGAAATATTTTAAATCTCCTTGTTTTATTGGACCCAAGCCACTTGTATTTTTGTATTTTCTCATTTTCAGAAATAGTGTTTGAGCTATTTTTTTATCAGAAGAATTTTTATGATACATAAAGAATATATTCTAATATTTTTCACAATAAAACTGTACGAATAGAAAGCTCAATTTGTGTCAGTATTTAATGGTTAGTATGGCATGATTTAATGGCCTTTTTTCTCATACCCTAATAAAATACCTAAAACAGTAATCAAGGTTAGAAACAGCACAATACATGAGGTAAGAGGAAGTAAACAGAGAAGAGCCTGTTAAGATGGGGAAGATGGAAGGACAACTTTCCCACAGGCTGTGGCAGCCTCCATCTGACTTCTGAGGGAAACTGGGACCTCTCTCTTCTCCTCCATTCAGGTACCAGTCTGCTGAGTCATTTCTCTGTTATTAATAGGATTGGCTGAACAGACTTGGTGCACTCTTATGGGTCCTTTCTCCTTCCTCATTTTTTGTGGTTGTATTAAAGTTATACAGCAAAGTCTTAGAAATCTGCTAACAAAATATTAGTGTGAATGTGAGTAACCAAGAATAACTCAAACAGTACTGGTCCTACCAGATCTTAGGTTTTTTATAAAGAACTGGAAACCCTCCCTTAACTTCAGTACAAGAAGGAAATATGATACAGAATGAGATTAGGAACAAAAACTGAGATTAGGAGGGAAAAATCACGTTGTGCAGACTGAATTAAAATTTGTTCTGTTCACATTTAGCAATGCAGGGTGAGATAACTATATTGAAACTGCTTCATCTGATACATGAGTTTTTATGAAGTTGATGGAGAGTTGTTTTTGAACCTTACTGATTTCAGTTAAGGCTCTTTTGTTTTGTTTTGGCATTCTGTTACTCCACAGCTGACCAAAACCATTAACTGTCCTCTGGGTTAACATTGTTCCTTTACTTCCCCTACTGAACCTAAATTATTTCTTTCATCTTTCAGGCTTTTGAACACTTACAACAATTAGAATTAATAAGGCCCATGGAAAGGACGTCAGTAAATGCCCAGAGAGAATACCAGCTGATGAAACTACTTTTGGATAATACTCAAATCATGAATGCTTTGCAGAAATATCCCAACTGTCCCACAGACGTTAGGCAATGGGCAACGTCCTCACTGAGCTGGTTGTGAATATGACCAGTGGCCGCAGTTTCGGAGTTCCAGGCACACTTCTCTAAAGAACTAGAGGCTATTGTCCTTCAACGACATATGTCGTGATGTTTTCTTCTATTTATAGACAATTATTTTTGTATTTATGGGGTAATGTTACACATGTAGTATATTCTTGGCTCTGCTGTGCCTTTAAGTCATGAGCAGTTACATGCTTTATAATCCCAGGAATTTAGACTATGTTGTAAGAAGTTCAAGAAAATAAATGTGACTATTTTGTAGGAATTGAACCATATACTTATTAACAGTTGTGAAGCATTTGTGTATTACATTTGAAGTGTTCATCTGGCCCGGCGGTTTTTATAAACCTTAAAGCAGTAAAGAAACAAGGGTAGAGGTTGAGATGTACTAATTAATCTTTTCGCACAGTGGGAAGTGCTGTATTTTTCCCCTGTACCCTGCAGGGCATTTTGGGTTCCATGCCAGACCTAGGTCTTCTAGTTCAGAAGACTGGCCAGTTTGGCTAAAGATGGTTCACATGGAAAAAAAGACCAAAAGTTTGGACATTTTTTGCCAGAATTCTCAAAATGTGGCACTTATACCATCTACAGAAGAATCCCTTGAAAGACTTTAAAAATGCAGATTCTTGGGCATAGTCTATCCAGAAGCATCAGAATTTGTCCATTTTTTTAAACAGGTACTTTAGGAAATTGCTGGAAAACCACTCCCACAAATAAGGGGAAATAAGTCAGTGTTAACTTAAACAATTTATATCTAAAAGTAGATTCCTAAGAGAAATGTGGAAACATCAGCCAAAGGATCACCTTATTAGTTCAGGAATCCATGAACTAATAGAGCTATATGTTTAAAGTGAAACTTAGTAAGCATTTGTTAAGTTTCAGTGACTTCATTTATTCCAGATTATTTGATCGCCTGTTGTTTTCATGGGAGATGAACAGAAGGCAGTGTCCCCAGTGTCATTCAGTTTATTGTATTGTCATACCTCAGTACTCAGGGGCTTCAGAACTCATCAAATCTTTTACTCACACTTTGATGAGAGAAGAAATGTTTCAGCACTCGGCGCTTGCTCGGGACTCGTTGCTCTTGCTAGAACTTGTATGAGTCACACCACTGCCCCACAAGGAAAGATGCTTCATCACTCATCACTTCCAAAATTTCTTTCGGTGCTGGTTGGTTTCAGCACTTGTCACAAGTTCTGGAATGAATAACAAGCAGTACTGGGGTATCACTTGTAACTGTGAAAGGCCATTATGATTTCCATACTGTTATTTACAGATGAGAAGACTGACATAGTAGGGAAATGTCCAGAATCACACAGGCAGAAAGTGATGACAGAGCGTGGTTCAAATCAGGTTTGTGTGACACCAAAGCCCCTACTACTAAGACTTAAAGTTCAGTAATGGTTCCTTATCATGTATTTTTATAAAGAATGCTCCAAGAAATGATTTGTCTGGTTAAGAAGTCTTAGGTGTGGAATAGAAGCCACTGTGCATCAAAGTAGCTCTTCAGTAGACAACCTACTGTTTGTATGCATCGCTGCTCCCTGCCTTCTCAGTCTTCAGACCACTGTCATTTATTTGTGTTCTGCAGTCTCATTAAATCTGAAGCTTGTGTAGTGGTCCTATGCAATACTCAGAAGATTTCTAGGAAGTATTCTGCCAAAATATTTAACATGGTAATATCACTATTAGTAGAAGCAAGTGTTTTACTCTTGAGTCAAAATGTCCCTTGACTGTGAAAGTACCTGAAGAACTGACTTGAGGATTACACATTTTTATTAGGTGAAGATGCCACTAAAAGGTTGGGAGCCTTCATCTGCCTCCGTGGTACTTATGAGCTACATCAAGATCCATCAGCATCCAGGTATACAGATTAAAAGACTGAGTAGCAAGGTGGGTTTTCACATTCAGTGAAACATAAAGCCAATTAGGAAAAAAATAAGTTAGCAAAAATCATACGGGTAAGTGTATGTCTACATTCCAAAGTCGTTTTTTGAGAGGAGGTATATCGATTTTCTGCTTTGCATACTCCCTAATACAAAGAAGCTAAAGTGTACTTAGAAAACTTTCAGACTAACTTCATCTATTAAATTCTTATGCCATCATTAATTGAATCTGAAAAGCCCTAGTAAAAAACTTTAGTGAATAGTGTAAACATTGTTGAGAGGTACTTCCTTCATTTACGAGAGGAGTAATGCAGCCTCTGAACAGCACGATCGAAAACCAGTGCGAGTGCCTTCTGCTGTACCCTCAGTCTGGGTCAGCAGAGCCAGGTGTGGGAGAAGAGTGTGAGAGAATTCAGTGCAGTTTTGACTCGTGTGATCCCCCCAGGTGCCCTACCAAAAACAGGATTTTATTTAAAAAAAAAAATTAATTCGTGTGCACATGCATATGCACACTTCTGAGGAATTAAACCTGTCGTCCAAACTGATGGCCCCATGCCACTCTGTATGTTGAGTATATACCGCGTATTAACTTCCTGAAGAATCTGTTTTGCAGAACAGACTAGAGAAGGATTCCAGTCTTTCTGTGTATTCCATGTAGATTCCACCATGGTTTGTATTTTCATCTGATTGAGAAGACAATGCAGATTCTTTCAAATCACCATAACCTAACTGTTGCCCCTTCCTTCACCTTTACCCTAAAAAAAAATTAAGAATCCTTTGGCATGAACATTGACACTCCAGGTGACAAAGTGGGCCTTTTCCACTCCTTTCTTCAAAAGCCACCATAATATAAACAAAACCTTTGTAACATTAAAAATGTGAATGGAAGCTAGCTTCCTTTTATTGTTACCCTACATGAAAATACCAGAATTTTTGCAACTAATTTGTAAACAGGTTGCAAACTGCTAATACAGTTTGTATCTTTAATGACTAGTTCCTAAGCCACATGTTTCTTATTTCCACGTAAAAAAACAAGACAACTGATGCTGTGTGGCTTGTGGCTCCCTGAAACTAGCAGGAAAAATGTAAGGAATTAGTGACAGCCTGCTAAGACAACAAAGGAGGGAGGGACATGTCCCAACTGACAAGCCTCCCTTTTCACCATCATCCCCACTGCAAATCTCAAGGTATAAGCCTCACTACAAATCACAAAGCTACTATTCCCCTCTTAAAGAACAAATTGCTAAAGAAAAAACTGCATATGCAAATCGTACCATATTCATTTTTTTATTTAACTTGGGGATGGAATGGGGATAGCATACATTTTATTTGTACAATATTTAACAATCACTTATCCAAGGTGGGGTTTAATGGGGCTTTTTTTTTAGCTTTTTGTTAAATACTTGCAGAAAAAATAGCAAGTACAATTTGACAGTAGTACAACAACCTGTGTCCAAAACACTGACAAAAAATACAGAGTAAAGCTAAAATAATTGCTTTCCAATATTTTGAGAGGTAACAAATAGGATATGGGTTGAGACTGCATAAAAAATGTACTGCTGGTTGAATATCTGAGGTAAATGATGTTCAATCAAGATGCTACTTGTATCATTTTGCCCATAAATCAGTAAGTAATTTTATGCACATTATACCAAATGTTCCTAAAAAGTAATTTAGAAAGGTAAAAAAGAGAAATTGGAAAAATCTGTGGTGAAGCAGTTGTTTTAAACAGTAATCAGTTTATTCCACCAAACTACAGTTTCACCTGGACAGGGTGTTCTCTCCTACCGCCTGCATTTTACCTGTGGGGTGGGGGGAGGAAAGGGGGAAGAAGAGATTCTTTTTTAATTTGATGATAGATGATTCTATTTTAAATTCCAAACTTGGGGTTGTTTCCTGATTGTATTTTCAAAAACATCACCATGAAAAAAAAATAGTTCATGGGATCAATAATTGTGAGGCACAGTCTCTGTTCTAGAATTCACAAGGTACCTGTAATAAACATTCAAACAAGAATCACACATCACATGCTAAAAACTTCCTAGCATCTGAAATACACACAAGAGTTGTCAGGGCATAGACTTCGAGTAAAGCCAAACACTGGTTAGTCCGTCATTAGTCCTATGGCAGTTGATCATACAGTGTTCCTTAGACGGAGACCTGGGCAAGGTAAAGTGGGAGTGAGAGCAGCAGTTCCAACAGGCATCAGAAAGGCAAAATACAAGACAAATCATAAGGAGCACCATACACATGAGGAAAAAATCACTGGGGTTCCAGTTCACCCCAAGACGAAGTCATATTTTTCTCATTCTTTGCTCTTTCCTTTTTTTAGTATTCCTAGCTCAAACTTTTGTTAACTTGCCCACTCTGCACCTACTGTAGACAAACATAAAAATGCCCTGCAAAAGAAAGTTTTAACAAGACTGGGTATCAGGTAGTCACTGGAACGTTCTTATTTAACATCTTTAAAAAAAGTGTTTTTCTGTTAATATAGTTCTCAAAAGGATACAAGTTTTAAAATTGGTTAAAGTACAATACCCAGATTTCTGAACATTTTTTTCTGACATGGGGAAAAATTTATCTTGTGAATAACTGGTCTTATAAAATTTATGTCTAGTGCTCACAGAGGCCAAATAGCCGCAATACTCATTTTCTTTGGATTGGATTTTTTAACCGTTTAAAATGAGGATTAAATGTGTAGAATAGGTATAAATGTCTTCAGATGGTAATTTCTGTGTGTGAACTATTCTCATTATTTTCCTTTCTTGATTAGTTTCAAAGTGGAAGCAAAATAAAATCAAGAAATTGAGAGGCAAAGTACTTTTTGAAATAAAGAAGTGAACTAAACATTGAAATGGAAACTCTTAAAAATAACAGGATGACCTGGGCATGTAATGTGGCGAGAGGACGTTCTGCATGGTGTGTGTGGTGCACAGACAGCAATGCTCCTACTCTCCTTTCCCTCCCTGCTTCGAGTCTGGTGACCAGTGTAGTGCTCATAAATAATGTAACTTATTTTTCCCAGAGAGTAAGTGCGTATTATATGTAAAGTGTACTGTGTGGTTAAATAGCCGTTTAATGATAACACTCACAGTAAGCTCTTGATAGTGACATGTAAGAAATCATTTTATAAAATTAATGTATGGATTTTAAAATGACCTGACAAAAATTACATAGCATAATACTGGCTATTTGTTGGCGAGTAATCTAAAATTTCAGGAAATTAATGTTTTACTTTGGCTTGTATAAATTTGAGGAAATCCAATTATATTTTGATATGTTGTTTTGAGAAGCACTTCAGCGCCTACCAACAATTCCATTTTCAAGGATAAGGCATGAACTATCTTAAAATAATATTAGAGTTAGTTGTGAAAGCAATTTGCAGGAGGAGACTAGGCTATGTTACCTATATCAGCACTGGTTACCTCTAAATATCATTGCATATTTTAAGTTAGAAGTTTGACTTGTTATCCCTGATTTGTTTTAAAGCAGTAACATCTGAAATCTGTGCTTAAAATTTACAGTCTCTATCCTAGGATAATTCTTTACATATCACAGACATCAAATATTACCCTGACAAGATGGCACCAAGCAGAAATACGGTGAAAAAGTTACAAGTCTCAAAGCAGAGAGTGAGGAATTCTGGGTAATGACACTTCCTGAGGTGATCCTAAAACAGTAATAAAGAATATCCCACACACTGTTTGATGAAAAGACAAAAACACAAATTTACATAATATAAATAGGAAAAAATCTATTTTAAAAGAATAAAAATGAAGAGCTTTCCAGTGTCACAGCTCACTTAAAAAATTTTAAATCATGCTTTAAATTTTCAAATTTCCCCAAACACAGCACACCTAAAAAAATACTTAGGTAAGTATGCAATATTTTGGGAACTAGATATAAGATGAAGCTTTAAAACACGGGAAGAAGTGGAAAATGACATTTGCTCATTTCAAAACAACAGCACTATTTTCCCCTTAAATTACAAGCTAGCACAAGAAAAGCTAAAACACTGCTTTACCAGTGGCCATTTACTGTTGGCACTAAGCATAGCTTACCTTTTTTCTTAAATAACACAGTGAATTTGTAATACCTTGTTACAAAACATGGATCAGTTTATTCAAATTTTGTTAGTGTTTTCAGTGATATAATTTAGCAACCGTGGAACTGAGGTATACCTTGTTGAGGGAGGTTAAAGTAACGCTCGGAAGCCTCTCCTGTGCCCCACTTTGATGACTTGTTTATGTACACAGAACAGCAGCACACTACACATTCACAAGCTGTGTCATATTGGCATTACAATAGTCATTTATAGAAACACAACAGCAAATGCAGTAAAAACAAGTTACCCTTTTAAAAATCTGAAATGAAAAGTTTTTGATTTAAAAAAAAATAGCAGTAGTTCATTTAAGGAATTAGTGTCTTCTGACAGACATTAAGAAATCTGAAGTCAGTTTTCAAACACTTGATTAGCCAGGTCCAAAAGATCCTTGATTTGGAGAGGGCTACATTCTTCATGTACACTTTTTCAAAAGTTTATATAATTTGCAACGTTTCTCTTAGTCTCACGTCCTTCACATCTCTGCTACAGGCAACGTCCTAAGTCTCCCAGAACCACAGTTTTCAATGAGGGTCTTCTTTTCGACATGTCCAGGAGACAGCCTACTCATTTCACACAAAATAAACTGTGAGCAGTTTCGTTAGCTTAGCAGCTCCAGTCCAGAGTCCTGTTTCTCACCGTGTACACATGGTGCAACCATCATAGACTAGATTCTTTGGGAGGAAAGTCAACATTTGTCACCATTGTGACCACTGTTACAATGTCCTCTGTGGTAATGATATTTGTTAGTCTTTGCATCTGAGTAATTCTTTCACCTACACATCCTGCTGATAGCCTGGCTTCTGCATCATGATCCCAGCATTCTTCTATCGTTTCGCAGAGCATCGCCATTCCCTGCAAATGAAAAACGTCTTCAAATACCACAGCAATTTGTGTTTTCTACTATGAAATGGAATAAAACTTCCATAAAGAAAGTTGGCTGTTTTTGTGGGTTAAAGAAAGTATCGAGATTAGCAGTCTTGCTTTTTTTTTTTTTAGTCAATGTTCACTTTTGAGTATTTTATACAGGAAAATTAAGAAAACACTAAGAAATTTTTTAGCACTCACAGTAGGTGATTAACTCTTTTATTTCCCCAAATCCCTATCCATCATTCATACACCAAGACATTTCTGACCAAACCCCTGAAATGGATTCAAACCAAGGCTAAGTGAAGTCTACTAATTTTTATTGTTTTCTTAGTTACTGATCAGCATTTCTCTCCTGCAGTTAAATAGGAAAGTTAGCTATCCTTGAGAATTCTCTACCTAGTTTTATCCACGTTCCTAGTTATACACCACGTAAGAATGCGGTGATCGGCAAGATTACCCTAACCATCCACAGGCTCGGAGCCAGGGACTCCTTTTCCTGGGAAGCTTTCCCAATAGGAGACCAGAGATTTGAGTCCTGTAACACTGACTGCACTATCTCATGAGCCATGAGCGTTACGCAAACACAGCCCTGGTTCTGTTTCTAGAACAAAATATCCTGTACAAAGATCACCTCCCCAGAAAATCATTCCAGAAGAGAAATGTGCAGAGGTATAAACCAGTCCTCTGAAAAGCATTTTATTTGCATTTCAAGTGAACCAAACTGCATGACTTACAGCATGTTTCTGCCAATAATCTCTCAAAACAGGCCTCTTTTTTTTATGAACAACCACCTCCTGCATGTCTTCAAGAGATGGATGCTGGCCAATTTCCTCCTCAAATGGTAACATGTACTCATCTACAGGTCCTAAAATGTGGAAAATAAAGGAAAAGAACCAATCATGTTAATTCATATCTTCCTGAATTCCAAAGAGGAACAAACTTTATCACCTTTTCCCAACTGTTACATGTTATAATGACAGGATAGCAGCAGACTCTCAACTGGACTTACACCACAGTGTAACCCAAACTCTAATTTAGGAGAAATCAAAGAGTCGGATTTGCCATGTAACTCTGCTAAGGGTTGGTTGTGTAAGGACCTCTCTTACCTACCGTATGAGGAAGGGCTGTCTCCATCTGTATACAGGACACAGGGAACCGCTGGTATTTGCAAATGTAGTATCCCTTTAAGGTACCCACTCCTAACTCAGATCAGACCGTAAAGAGTGGTGCTGCCATCTCTGAAGACTCTGGGTCCAGTCTGTTGTAAGCATATTTATTCTATGAAATGCTCAAACTCCCCGTGTGCTCCACGTGAGAAGTCATGTACCTCACAGTCGTACCGCTTAATCTGCTCTCAGAAGAGCTGACAAAAATATATTTAGTTGTTTTAAATCATACTCTCCAGGGTTCCCAACAAGTCAGAACATGCCTTCACAGACAAGCAAGATTTATTCAACATTAACGGTTCCTCTTTTCTAAGACCCACTCAAACAAGAAAACGCAGCTAGGGATGCGTTTACATCTGATGAGCATTTCTCCTGGCCAGAAACTTCACATTGTCATTCACTTCCATTTTATCTTCACAGATTGAAGGTGGTATTACATCTATTTTACAAGTAAAGAAGCTCAGAAAAATCCCATAATTTGCACAAGGGCATACAGCTAAGTGGTAGAGCTGGAATCTGAATCCATCTAAATGAAGTCTGCTTTCCACTGTGCTGCGTCCCCTTGACAGAAACCTGTCACTGATCAGCAGTGTCAGTGTCCAGATGTCTCGATGAAAACATAAACCCCGTACAAGCTCTTTGCATGTAATTCTTCTGGATAGAATGAATGTAAGTTACCACAACCCTGAAAGAGACCCTCTAACTCCACGCTCTCCAAATGTTAAGAACCCCGGATGCCTGGAGAGGGCTCTACTGAAGCACTTCCCGGGGACAGAGGACTGACTTGCTAGGGGACCTGTCATGCCCAACGCTGCTCCGCAGGGCAGCTGCAGGGGCACTGACCCCAGGAGCTGTAAGAGGTGTCACTGCCAGGCCCCAACCCAGACATAATAGTCAGAATCTGAAGTAAGATTCCCAGGCGTCGGTGCACATTCCAGTTTGGGAATCACTTAACTGAATCAACAATTAGCTATCAAGAAATTTTAAAGTACTCACTTTAGCAACACTCACACTGTGTCTGCCCCAGCCTCTGACTAAGGGTTAGAAATGCCTGATCTGCAATGAAGTACTTCGCAGCATGTGCCAGGCAACTGAGAAAAGTCCGCATATCCTTTTCTCTAAGAACTCCCCTGATAAACCCTCCTCCCCAATAACAGTGCCATTTCTCACTCTAAACTCCCATGACATTTCCTTAGATTTATTTCTCAAGTATTACATTTATACAGAAGTATTTACTGAATACCTATGTACCAAGCACTTGGGCTAGACAATCCACACTTAACTCTAGAGTTAAACAGCCCAGGAAAAAACTGATCACCTTAATGAAACAGTACATTACTGAATGGCAGGGCCCTGAGTATCCTCCATAAAATCATATCCAATGGTTTTTGGTTTGGGGAGTTCACATTAAGGAAGTTCTTATGAAATGTATGTTCCTATGATGCCTGTCATTTCATTTCCTTCCGCTTCCATAAATGCCCACATTAAATGCCCTTCCTCTTCCATTTATAGTCAAAAATACACTGAATACCTTACTCTTCTTCCTGCAGACTTCTAAGCTTAGATTATATCCAAATTGCTTCAGACTTTTTTAGGTTCTGGATCCACTCCTGTGCCAAACCCCCTGTCTCGGAAGGATGAATGGCTGTCCAGAATTCCTGAGCACACTAATAAGTTCCTTTCAAATCACAGTGCCCCAAATCCAACCTCATACACCCTACACCAGCGGTGTCACTCATTTTCCCTGGGGGCCACGTCAGCCTCGCAGCTGCCTTCAAAGGGCCAAAATAACTTTAGGGCTGTATAAATGTAACTACTCCTTAACTGTTAAGGAGCTGAAATTACACACATCGGTCCTTTGAAGGCAACCGTGAGGCTGACATGGCCCCCGGTGAAAATGTGTTTGCCACCCCTGCCATACACTAAGACTGTTACCATCCTTCAGCGAGTTCTATAAACGTAGGTTAAGTTGATGATACCTTTTAAAATATTCAACAACACAATTTCTGTGGTCTTTAACAATCTGCAGAAAAGTTTCAGGCAATTATAAATTAAAATCTAAAACACCAGATCATGTAAATTTACATTTGGGAGTTAAAGAGAAAGTGTGCCTTACATTCTCACAGGTAAAAACTGTATCATATAATTGGAGAGACTTCGGGAGAAGCACTAAAGACAGTACCTAGAACAGCATAAACCCATCACACCAGCAATATACAGTATGCAATTTTATTATCAACCAATGCAAATATCTACAGGACTTGAACAAGGGGTTCGAAAACAAGAACAAAGAACAGGAATCCTCAGAACCCAGGTACTGTGCCAGCAAGCATTCAAAATAACTGAGTCTTTCAAAGTTCTAAGGAGCCAGAATTTAACCTGTGGTAAATCCCAACGCGTGCTCGGTTCTGTGCCATGGAGGACAGACTGTTCAGTTCAATCTGGTTACTTAGGTACATGGGTAGACTCGGCCTGAGCATCCTGGAAGGCAACGTCCCCCAGCCCCCCACTCTACATGCGTCTCTTCAAACCACAAGAGCTGGCTTTACAGCCTGGGGCAGGAGCCCCCGGGCCAACCAAAGCAGCAGCCCTCCCTGTCTGCATCAGAGTTTCAAATCTAGGTTTTACCGTCTGCCACTTTGAGGCAAAAAAAGGCAAAATACTCAATTTCTACTTAAAAGTTGAGCCTCAAATTCCTCTTTTGTAAAACTGAGATAATTACTACTTACAAAGTATTTTAGGAAATAACATAAAAGTATGTGAAGTGCCCAGCAAAACCTCTGGTAACGGTAGAAGGAGCAACGCGTCCTGCCCTCCCTCCATTCCTTGCCTCCTGAATTCTCTTTAAGCTACCTCCTCTTGGTGTCTGTTTTAAAAAAATAAAAAATTGTGCTTTAAAATATTACCTTTGAGTGTAATCATCCCTTTCCATACATGTATTATGTGTCTGTGTGTGTATCTTTTTAAAAAATGTTTTTCCCCTTACCATCTGCAGCAGTACAGCGAGAAGCCAGTTCCCACAGGACCAATCCCATGGCGTACATATCTATCCTCAAAAATGCATCCCTTTGGAAGTTTATAGCGCCCTCTAATACCTCTGGAGCCATATACCTCCGGGTACCAACCTGAAAAAGATGTTGAAAGCAAAAAAATACTCATTAACTTTATGAAATAACATAATCTTGTAAAAAGAATCAAAACCAAATGTGGTCTAATATCAGATAACGTAACTAGATGAGGAGCACCAGACTACAGAGTCAAGTAGAATTTTAATACATTTCAAATAATGTCGTAGCCAAGACATTCACTGAAAAGAGCAATGGCATCCACCAGACTGACCGAGCAAACTGGCTACTCTGCAGCTCTTAAAAAACATGAGGTAAATCTATAAAGGCTGACAGAGAAAAATTCCTCAAAATACTATAGGATGAAAACATAAAGAAACAAAGCAGTGTGTATATATATATAGTATATATATATATACTAAGTATATATATATATATACACTAGTATATATATATATATATATACTAAGATCCTTTCTGGGTACACTTAATAAGTATATTAATATTATGTTTAAGAATTTTTTCCTCCTCTTCTAGAAGTAATCACAAGAAACTGAACAATAATTGTGGGGAGAAAGATGGACTAGAGGAAAAAACATACTTTTAAGTTGTACTTTTGCATACTCTTTGAAATGTATCTTTTTTAAAAAGTACTTTTATTAAAGGGTTTCTCTTTCTCTGTATTAAGAAAAATAAACAATACAAAATGTGAAAAGAATTAGCCAAAAAAGGATGGACAAACTTGTTAAAACTCTATTTTTACAAAATCTATTATGTTCATTCATTGTATTGGAGTTCTCGATTTGTCTGTCCCTGACAATTTGGTTATTTCTTAGTAATGTAACACTGGTTACTAAGCTCCTACAGGTAGCTTTGGTTGGTGCTTGACAACACTCATACATAGATGCTCAAAGAACTGTGTGAGCTGGCTGGGTGATCAGAATCGATTTGAGTAGTGGACCTAGGGTGAAGCCCAGATACTGGCATTTCCAAAGAGCTCCACCCTCAGGTGACTGTGATCTCTCGACTAGAATTGGGTGACTATCTGCAAATATACAGATAATAAAAATAGGTTACCAAAACTATGAAGTTCACGTTTTTAATTGATTTGATAAGAATAAAGTAGCCCTGGCTGGTGTAGCTCAGTGGACTGAGCTCGGGCCTGCGAAGCAAAGGGTCACTGGTTCGATTCCCAGTCAGGGCACATGCCTGGGTTGCAGGCCAGGTCCCCAGTAGGGGACACATGAGAGGCAACCACACATTGATGTTTCTCTCCCACTCTTTCTCCTTCCCTTCCCCTCTCTTTAAAAAAATAAATAAAATAAAATATTAAAAAAAGAATAAAGTAAAAAAGCTTAATTTTTTCTACTTTAAATAACTCTTTTAATTGTACAATAGTGCAATATATAAAATGTATAAGAACATGAATTTCTGCATTTTTATGTTTTCTGCTCCATGAAATCTAAAGTCAAGGAACTGATGTAAGTAATTAGTTATTTATACCTCATCATGTAACCCAACTGTGAAAGTGTAAAAAGATATGAATGAGCCCCCAAATTTTTCCTTATAAAAACAGGGATGAAGGTTACAAGGTACCAAAGGATTAAACCATTCACCGAGTTTAGTCTTACGAAATCACAAGATAACCACAGAAGCTTGTCCCTGGGCTGCCCGCACAACCCCCCTCTCAATGATATTCTCCAAGAAACTGCCTTTGTTTCCAAACACATTTGGTGTCAACCTTTCTGGAACTATCACTGCTGGCCATTGCTCCAAACTGAATGCTTAAATCATTAGTCATTATTGCTGAATCTGTTGTGTTATGATTCTCTGATAACTGTGTTCTTGGAAGTTAATAGGATATGCTGGAGAAAAAAGAAAGCTGAGAATTAGATGAGCAAATAATCTGCATGATTTGAAAGAAGAAATGATCATGCCACAGTCTAAGTCATTTGGCTTTGTAAAAAAAAAAATGTCACCTTTCAGGTCAAGCTGGTTTTCTGAACAAAAGTCATCTGGTAGGAGTGACAACACCTTTTCTAGCCTCACAGTGTTTGAGAATAAAGTGTACAGATGACGTTCTTTCCCCTCTGGCTTTCTTAAAGGCTCCCTTTACTGAGATCTCCGTGTGTAGACCTGGACTAGAGTCAGGCTCCTCACTCGGGCTTTACAAGTGTTCTGAACTCTGGAGAGAATTCAGAGAAAAGCTATAAAATTGATTAAAGAGAAAATGAAGCAATAAGGCCAAGAAACAAGACACTATAATTGCTGTCTGGAAAAATGGGCAGTGGATCTTAATACACTGTAGCATGAACAGTGACTGATAACTCTTCCATTCCTCTTAAGATAGTGAAAGGACTAAAACTGAGTTAATCTAAGAACTCCCTAAGAAAAAGGTCTATTAAAATGTTTTGGATTATTTGATTAGTTTTTAAAACAGAATCCCATGACATCTGTCTCGGTTACTTTATGTACTGTTTGATCTAAACCACTTGAGGTACTAACCGGTCCATCACCATTGTATGAAAATGTCTCCTTAGCAAATTTAACATATTACTCTTAAGATGGTCATTTTACATTAGAATGCCAATCGAATTACCACCACAAATATTTTAAACCAATCCAGGTATGCCATGCTAAGAAAATATGGGACAAACTATTTTTTCTTACAGGCTACAGTTATCATTCTTACCTGTCCATGAGTATCACCTGCAGACTTGCCAGCCTCAAACTTTAACGCCAACCCAAAGTCAGCAATACAAGCTGTCAGATTGTTTTTCAACAGCACATTTTTACTTTTGATGTCCCTTGCAAAAAAGAAAGAGTATTCAAATTAAGTTTAAACCAGGTACATCTTTTTAAAATTGTTGTTGAAAGTGGGAAAGAGGGAGACTATGTATGCTATAAAATATAGTTACTGGAAAGTATGAAATACAAAAAACAAGAAGGAGAAAAAGCCTATGCAAAGTCTCCACACTGCTTAAAGCACAAGAAAGAATACAGTGACAAATTCCTATTTATAACGTGGGCAATAAGAAGGAATTCTCTCCATAATACAGTTTTATAAAAAAGTGCCACTCCAAAAATACTATCCAGCCTACATGTTATCTATGCCATTCCTATCTACCAATCATAAAACTGCTGTTTTCTAAGATAAGAATATAGCAGAGTTTATCGTTAGAAACTCCCATTAAAACAGAACTTTAAAAACCAAAATTTAAACCTTTTCAAAAATAGCTGAATCATGGCCTTCTCTGGTACAGGCCTACATTTTAGAATGGCCCCTTATTTTAGTCGTTCTTGTATTCATTCCTCAGCCTTGCTGCACAAAAGCATCTCTAGGAACATATAACAGAAATTTTATACCAAGAACATATAACTGCTCCAGCTGAATCCTGATGCTCTGAACAGAGTAATGTTTTAAGGCAACCAGATGTCCTGTGCACACCAGCCTTAACTGGTCCATCCTGGCATTACTGTGCCTACGCTAAACACTGCTGAGCAGTGGTTAAACCTGTGTGTACAGAAACTGAGAGGGGACAGAGGAGGCACAGGGAAACACACACAAATGCTACAAAACCAATCAGCCTTAGACTGAAATTTTTTTAGGGACGGTAATCCTAATAATCTTAGGGGTTCAGTTCACTCTAGAATGGAATGAGGTAAGTAAAAATTCAGGAAGAGGCAGTAAGACTGAATATAGGAAGCTAAGAAGAAAGGGGAGCTATTTCTAAGGTGGAAGTTTCCAAAACCAGAATCTATATGAGAGTTGGCTTTAAAGTAAGCCTCCCAGTAACCTACAACACCACCTGGTGCCACTCAACTAAGTATTTTTTAAATGAGTAAGTTTATACCTACTTTTAAAGCAACCATCTTTAAACTGAATACTACAAGATGACAAATTGGTCACATGTCTGAAGAAGTTAAATACACAGTGACAAACTGAATCCCATGTTCAAGGGAACTAGTGTTTTCCCTTTTGAGGAAATAACAACTATTTTGTCCAAGTATTATTTCTTTCCTGAAAAAGGCAATTATAAATACTCTTGTTCAAATGGTGCCTCCTGCCACCTCAGCTCAGGTAGTGATTGTATGGTCCCTCAACACATAAGCAAAACAGATACTTCTGAATTGTATCACCTTATTCCTGTTTATAACTATCTTCATGGTTATAGAGGAATCATGTTTTGAGATTAAACACATACACCCTTTGATTTAGAGAAAATACACTTTTATTCTTAACCATGCTTTCAAAACTGAGACTAATTACAACATAAGTTGGTAATTAAATTAATGATGACTAACAAGCTAATGATGTTAATATATACATTATCCAAATTATTTCCTGGCCAATCTCAAAACTAATTTGAAAAACAAATGAAAATCATTCTACCTCTTATAGCATGAATAGATAACTAGGGGAAAAATCTATTTTGTTCAGGGATTAAATGTTTAAATATTAAACAAATACTGGGTTATTTGGGAAAGTAATATAAATTTAGCTCTACCTGTGAGATATGGCAGGTTTGTGGCCATCCTTCAGACCAGGTATATCCTCATGTAGATAGGCCAACCCTCTAGCCATGGTTTCTGCAATATGACACAATTCGTTCCAAGAGACCACATTAGCCTTAAGAAAGTCTGACAGTGAACCCTAAAGAAAGGGGAAAGAAAAACAGTTTATGCTCTTGACAAAAGCCATTTGTATATGGAAACTCTCCCTTTAAGAGGTTATGGAAGAGAACATACTTTCCTTTTTGGTGAATAATATACAAAAAACAGTCTGGAATGGTTCAAGTTTCACATTAATGAACATTTGACTAGAAATACCACGAATCTTCAAAGATTTTCTACGAGCACAGATGGTGGGTCAATTTTCCCGTGTTCAAAAGGCAAAAGTTTAAAAAAGATAAATAAAAAAAAAGATGAGTAGTCGAAAATCTAAAGCTCCAGAAAATACTTTAGAAGTTAAAATATACTGACTACAGAGGTGCTATATCATAGGTCTAGGAGAGCACAACGTTCAGACATACAAACAACTCATACAAAGAATCCTCTAGGCATCACTGCCATCTTTTTGGTCTAGAATTAAGAGAAGTGAAAGAGGCACTTATATCTGACACTGATGGACCCAATGGCCCAGAAGAACATAATCTCCTGCCTCATTAATGTGTTTTTCACACTGACTCTGAAAGCAGGGAAATGGCCAGTGTGCTTTGGTACTAAGTACCCTACAAATGAGTGACAGATCAAAGATCAGATAAATTTCCTAATTCGAGTTTTATCACTAAACTATACCGATTAAAGAGTTTTACAAAACAAAATTCAAACTGAAAAAAAAAATGGGTACATTTACTAAGCATTGGTTATATTAAAATAATTTGTGAGACAGGTGATTGCAGCACAAGAAATCAGGGACAAAAGATTGATGTTATAAACAGAGGCTTAAGGTAAAACCATCTTTGCTCTTTTATTAAAATAAATTATTTTTAAATAGATTTTTATTTATAAATTCTAACCAAGGAGAACAGCACACTGTTCCCAGAAAAATAAGGCAGAGGGATATGTAACCAATATTAGGTAGTCAAACCAACCCTGACTTTACTGAGTCAAAATCGAAAGGCGTTTTACCTTTTCATGAAATGCTGTGATTAGCCAAAGATCCACATCAACACTGGTGCCTCGTTTTTCTGCACCAATGAACTGTAATATGTTCTCATGCTTCATTCCAGGCAAACTGTAGACTTCATATTCGTTTTGCCAAGACTGTTTATCCTGCAGTCAAAAAGGAAGAATAGTAAGAATGCAAAGAACAGAGTCAATAAACCATATCCAAAAATTACTCAAGTTTTAAGGCAAAAACAAAGTGTTAAAAAGACTCTTTAGTTTTGTTTTTAAATAAAACTCTGATAGTAAGTAATACCAAATGCCTGCCCTCCCCCATTTCCTCAAAATAATACTTTTTTTTTGAGGGAAATGCTGCACCTCTGTGTCTACAATGACCACGCATTCTGCTGCAAGTTAGCACCACAGAGTAAGAACTTCATCACGGAGTGGAGCTGCTTGTGTTACTACTCAGAATAATGCCCCCGACAGATGAAATCCAGGCAAAATGACTTTGTCTAATTAGAAAACCATTTCTTAAAAGACTATAAAATGCTTAGATACCCTGTAAAGCCAACAAGAGCACAATGGAGTATAAATACACTAATTTAAAACACTACACACCATTTGTGCCTGCAACTGATCCATGCTTACTACGTATCAACTTACAAAAGTTACAGTTTCTTTCCACAGTAAGAGAAGAATAAGGAAGGCAGATCGCATCAACAGTTAGGGACTCTCGGGGTCCAAATGAAGAGCCTTTGGCAAATTCCATAACCATTCAGTTTTTGCCTCATTAAGCTGCTGTATTATATGCATACTGTATGTTGTATATGCGTAATACATAGACACATATTAATGAGAACTCCTATGTAAGCACCTCTACCTGACAAATGGAAGCATCATATAAAATGTTAGCTACTATTATTGTCACTAATCTTACATTAATATCACCCAAGTATTTGCAGATCTTGGCATAACAGAACAGATTCTTCCTCTAAAAACTAAATTATACTTTATAGTATATACACTTACACCAAAAGAAAAAAACAGTAATAGCAAACTGTTTCATAGACTCTTAAGAAATAGGCTTTAGGAGAGACAAGAAGGCTAAAATCTAGGTATATTAAGTGAAGAAGCTGGTTTTATGATAACGCCTAAACAAAGACAATCTCCTATCTAGGTGCAGTCACGAAGCCAGCATCACCCAGCCTGGCCAGGACCACAATCCCATGTGTGGTATTAGCCACAGAGGTGTATTACACCAAGGTTTTATGAGGTCAGCCCCCTTTAAAAATAAAAATTCAACAGTAAACCAATTATTTACAGTATTGATTCACTGCATCTGAAAATTCACCGAACAAAATCTGAAATGATTACATAAACACTCAAAGTAGAAAAAAAATGAATAGTTTGGTAATATATTTCCAAACAGCAATTCTGAAACAAAGCATACTACTCTTTTACTATTCTGCTTGCTTTTTCTGATTGTGTCAATGGGAGTGTAAAAGTTAACCACTCAGACAATGATTCCATTTGTATTGGAATTACTCATCTTCACTTTGTATTTCTTTAGAATTTTTACTGGCAAAAGATCTCCTATATGTTCATTTATTGTAACTCCACCACTGTTAAGAAAACATACTGACTGGTGTACCATTAATTCTGTTTCTCAGAGGAGAAGGCAGACATAACAGGGCTAACCACTTTCCCTAGTATCACAAGAACCATCTTAAAAAACATGGCCTATGTTGCAGGCTGCTTCTGAGTTACGATGACCTAGCCAGTTGCATCTTTTAAAAAATATATGCAGATTAGAAAACTGATCAACATACCTGTATTGGAAATATTTTCACAGCTACATATTCATTGAGCAACTGAGCTTTCCATACACAACCAAATCTTCCCCTTGCTTTCACTTCCAATAACTGCAGTGGCTTCAAACCTAGTAATGGAGAAGGTGGGGGTGGTCCTGGGTCCTACAGATAAACAACAATACTAATATCAAAAAAGCAGCACAAGATATGTACAACTTTATATGTGAGGGGAAAAGTGAGTAATAGTGGGGAATCAATTGACAGAAACAGTAGACACATACAAGTGACATTAACTTCAATGTTTTCAAAACTGAGTCCTCAAGCTTCACTAATTACCTACATGATCACAAGGCAAGCAATTTGAATTAAGAGTTTTCACAACATTCAGCACTATTGCTATATAGGTACAGCACAAGAAAAGATCTAAAGTCTTTCTGATCTAGTATCACTAATTTCCCAACTAAGATTTTCTGTGGCCTCTGGGACACCTCGAACAGTATTTCAAAGGCGTCATCCAGTGACGACAAGGAATGAGGATTTGAAAAGGGCTGGAAACAGCAAATCAAGGCTGTGTCTCAAAGAAAACCTCTTCAAAATCCCCTACTTCCTCTAATTTCTATTTAAATATTTTCTTCATTTAATCTCAGAAATATACACAGTCATTCTCAAAAGCATCACAGAGAAGTATATCAAATACAAAGCATGTAACAGGAATGTCAGTTAATGTTGCTATAGTCAAACTGTTCCATTCACTTTAATTTTTCAACCTATTAACAACTCATCCCTTTGCTTACAATTATTTCCCAAAATTGAATGTGAGGTAAAATGTATTAGTGTTCTGGGTGTTATTGGCAAAGAAAGTACAAATAATAATCTAGAAAGTGAGTAGTTATCACAGCAGCTAGGGTAGGGTAAAATAAAGAGAAGTGTACTGCTACAGTTAATTTTTTTTAATGGAGCAAATACAGCATACAAATAGGAGTATGGCATTTACAAGGGACAAGGGAATCCTTTCTATACAAAGTAAAGTGACAACTCTTCACTGAAAGCATTTTATCAGTTCAATATCTGCAAGAAACAAAGGATGTAAGAAGCCTCTTGGAAATTTTCCAGAGGGAAAAAAGCAATAAAAATGTTTGAACTGCGTAAGGAGTACTGCAACTAAAATTCTGTGGCTACGGCAGCAGACACTATGCCACGGTGGAACGTAAGACACCTGAACACAGTATGTCTCCCCACATCAGTGCATCTCTCTCTGCTTTTCCTCTCCTCCCGAGAAAGAAAATGTCTCCTCTTCTAATGCCTGAAGACTGTTAGTGCTCCCTTTAGACATTATTCAGCCCACTGGTGCCACTAATGATGTAAAAAAGTTAACGTCAACATTAGAAGGACCTTCAAGAATAGAAACACTGCAAGGTATTAAAGAGAAAAAAAATGTACTTTCTTCTTCTACACTAAAGTAGACAATGTTTGCAAAATGGTTTCCGAACTCCTATTTTGTTAGAGTAAGATAAACTACGAGACTTTCTGTGACTCATTTCAATTTCAGTATTTATTTTTTAATGTTTACAAAAGTTGCTTTTCTATCACACATTCAAAATATGAAAGGTTAGTAGAGTTAAAGGCCGTTTTCATTTAACAGTGATGAATCAAGGAGGTCAGATACAAATCTTGTAGAAGAAATATGGCCCCTAAAGTTACAGTCTAGAGTAGGAGGGACACAAGAATCTCTGGGAAGGTTTTATTAAAATCAACCCTCCCTACCTCATTCCTTGACTGATCACTTATACTTGTAACAGGGGATTCTACCAATAGGAGTTTGTTCCTTATGTGAATGTGAAGTTAAAGAGGAAAAAGTTGAAAACTACTCTTTTACAGGCAAAGAAAACTCAATGCTTGAAGTCTAAGAATTGCTGGATAACTGCATAAAAGAATAATTATGCTAACTAACCAAAAAAAGTTTCATTTGAAAAACTTTAACTATGAAGTTAAAGTCAATGATCTCCCCTCCTTTAGAGGTAAATTAGAAAACTTGAGTTTTCAAAGCGGGGATGCCAGAAACTAAAGTATACAGATAAGACTTGAAAGCTGAAGGAAAAATAACCAGGTAAAGAGTAATATGGCTCTAAATGTAAACACTAAGATTTTTAAACAGCTTTTATATAAAGTGACTGATAATGTCTCTCGAGGTAACATATATATTGTCCATTCTTGGTTCTAAAGAGAACCATCCACCTGGATATGATTGTCTATATGATGACTTAATTCACACGTTAAATTAAGACTATGTCAGCAGTTTAAAATGTGATTTAACCAAAAATTAAGCTTACTTTTAGGAAAAATAGGGTAATTTTCAATGCTCAGGAAAAAATCACTGAGTGTTTGCTAAATATAGAATAATCTTCAAAGTTTCCATAAGTTCCAAGGCTTTGTTCAGCAAACTTCTAAGTTGCCATTATTTTAGTAAATCTTAGATTACTCTCCTAATAATATTACCAATGTACCAGAGCCTGAAAACAGTGTCGTCAAAATTACTTGTAAGTGAAAAACTTAAAATAAGGAGAACATTGGCCAATTTTCAAAGGGTGATAAAAAAGGTCTATGAAGGAACAGTCCTATAGAGTATCAAAACTTTTAGAAATGATGTGTGTTTTTAAATAATATCCTATAATACTTAAAAGGTTGAGTTCAAAAACAAGTAACTCTATAACAGGTAACTGTCTGAAGAACTATAACACAAATCAACATACCTTTTGCTTTTTCAATGAAAAATTACTAGAATCTATTTCATTCCTTTCAGCTCTTGATTAATTTTTAACTATATCTCTAATGTCTTTTACTTATTCTATAAGATTAGAAGTTATTTTGAGCTTATTAACGTCACTACACTAATTTACCCACAAAAAAACTAAATACTTGATTCTAGAGATAAAGATTTATAGTTTTAAAGTATAAGAATACTTGGGGAGACAAACTCAGACTTAGACTTCATAATGACAGCAACATTCTAATGTTATTCATAAAACAGGGCTTTGTCCTGCCACATAAAAAACTACTTTGGGGCAGGGGCAGCTATGAAGACTGCTTAATTCCTGCTAATTTCCCCTAAGTCTCCAGTTCTTTTGCAGTATCAATACTATTCTTGCACAGTTAAAAAGATACGCATTAGAACATGGCCCTGATTATATCCCTGCTTTACCCGTCTGTATGTAAAAGTGACGGCATCGTAAGACATCATGTGATGAAGCAACAAATGACTACCGCTGGAAGAGGTGTCCCCCACCCCAACAACAGCCAGTAGCACTACTATTAACCGATGCTAGGATAAGTTATCAGATAGGAAGAGCTGCGAAGGAGTTTGTCATCCTTTTACTCATTCTGAATTCTCCATCTGAAGGGTGAACTCTGACCTAAACAAGGTCTTAAATTTCCACACAGCAGAAGATCCCTAGCTAATCTACCTGCTAAAGATGTCAAAGATGAAACTACCTGAAAATATAGACTTCACATGAAAAGATGATAGATTTGACCAGAAAGTCAGCCCCTGTCAAAAGTGAACAAAAACTGACATTTAAGGTAATGATGTAATGTAAAAATTAACCGATACAAGTTTTTTAAGGCTAAAAATCTTTTGAGACTAAAAATCTAGCCATTAGGTATTAACTTCTAATCAACTAAAACACTTGTTTCTACATTCCACCTCAGATAACTATAAATATGGTTAACAATCCTTTAAAACCAGAAACTATTACTATAACAAATCAATCATATTTTCAGTACTAAAAGTAGAAAAAACTTCATAACATAAATGTATAAACTATAAAGGATGCACAGTAAAGCAACAACAAAAAAATCTAAGAACAAAATGTTTAGTATGCATCCACAAGAAGTTCCACAACCATGAAACAAACATCAAGGCATCTTACCTCTATCATTATATGAAAGGCGTGCTTGTGAAGAAAAAACACAGGCAAAGGAAATTACGATTTATATCCAGAATGAAATGAAAAATGACACATCAGTTACAAAAGTGAAGAAAGGAGAATAATGATTTAGCTTTTTAAAAGTTGGCAATGATCCAACGTGTATTTCTAAAATGAGGATTGGGAACCCTTTCCTTATAAACAAAGGAAAGTGATATTTAAAAAACAAATGAACTTGGACATCACCTATCAAATAAGGGGTATTATATAGATGACTCTTGTAGGACCCCAAGTTACCTGATCCAATGGACTTCAAACCAGCAAATAAACTAAACCAAGTCTTAAACAACTGAAACTTATTTTTCTAAGATGTTATAGCATCTTAACTATGAGTAAAAATAATAATTTAATTAAGATATATGTTGGAATTGACTTGTGGACACCAGAGGGCAGTATTGCCTTTAACAAAAACTGTAGAAGGAGCAATGAAAAAATTTGTATATAGCTAAGTTGCTCAGACCACACTCTGATAGTTATCTTAAGAATCTCTAGAATCTCCTGCTACTTCCTCAACTGCTTCACTCCCCTTTCATGGAAGACAGTAAAATCGTAATAGTGAGAAAGAAAACTGTTTCCAGTACCTACCTATGTGAATGTGTGTAATACACTAGGGTAAAACAAACAAGCAAACAAACAAGGGAAGACTAAGAGGATCAGATTAAATAGAAAGAGTGACACACCAGGCCTATTGCTATTCTACTTCCCCAGCCACAGCAACAGTGAAGAAGTTGGGCAGGGGTGGGTCCTGGGAACAAGTGTCCACACATACTTTTCAGTCTGAGTAGACTCTTAGGGAACAAGATTTTCATTTTCCCATTTATCCAAAAAACAAGTAAGGGCCCAGATTTAAAATTAATAGAAATACTATCACAGTATAAAGGAATGCTATGAATCTCTCCAATTGCCGGTTATATTATCCAGTTTCCACTATTTTTCTACAGCATCTACAGAAAACAATGGCAACAAAAATTTTTTTGACAAGTCATCCATGCCAGTTGCTTAACTAGTTTTTCTTTCTTCCTTAATTTTCTCCTGTGAATGATTCAGGATTATTTTATAATTCATCTGAAAGGCTTAGCTAATCCCACTATCGAAACATCTTATCAGTACTCCAGGGTAAAATTCATCCCTTCAAAGAAATTCATGCCACATGAATAACTAGACTACAGCTTCCCAAAG